TATGCTGACCAGATGCAAGTGTACCACCGATGATTTCTGTGACTGAGTTTGGTTTCCTTTGCATATAATATCATACTCTCCAGCTTTTCATTTCTAATATATTCTTCCTTAAAGGAACCAGGACTTCTTGGAGAATCCAGATGAGCTTGAAACACTGTTTTTATAAGAGAAAGGCTGTTTTCAAAGACATCTAAGTTCATAACAAAGGAGTTAGATTGAAGGGACTCTCACAGTTCAGTCCGTGACAAGCATGGATATTAAAATGGAGACAAGAATTTTAGTTAATTGGAATGTTGAATATGTAAAAGGCTATAACTTCATAATATGATCAAGAGGAACAAACAATGTAAAATAACACTTTAACATAAAGTAGCATTTTCAAAGTGTGGTCCAGGGGCTCTCAGGGTTGGTGAGGTCACAACTGGTTTTATAATATTGCTAAGAATGTCTTTCACTCGCCTTCTCTCCAAGGATACGGTGGAGTTTTCCAGAGGCTATGGGATATGTGGTAATAGCCTTGCCCTAATGGAGTGTGTGCTTTGTGCTTTGCGTTTTTGTCCTTTAAAAATGCTTGGTTTTAATTTTGAATACAGTAAGAATAGATAGCTATAACTTACATAAACCAAAGTTATTTGTGGCCCTCAGTCTTTAAGGGTGCACAGAAGGGCCTGAGACTAAAGAGTTTGGGAACTGCTGTTCTAGAGAAAAGTCAGTCTTACTGATGGGGGGAAATCAATTAGTATTTACTGACCGGGACCAGGCAAAGCATCCATTTTATAAAGACACACAGAGCATCTCACTAAAATACTTTTACTCCACTGTTCAGTTTTAGGTCACTAGGTGACTCTAGAAATGGACCAGGAGAAGAACTGAAACTTGAGCCTTCTAAAAACAAAAGACCTAAAAAATATTTAGTGTTACCCTATCCCACGACCACAATAATTGAGAAAAGGTCTTTCCATTGCCTCTTCCCTCCCCCTCTCTCTCCTCTCCCTCCCCCTCCTCTCTCCTCTCCCTCCCCTCTCCTCTCTCTCTTCTCTCTCCCCATCCTCTCCCTCCCCCTCCTCACACACACATGCACAGCGTGCCTGCATAACTTTAATTCCTAGCACAAAATATTACTTCATTCGGTGGCTAACATACATGCAACACACAGCGGCAGTACAAAGACGTGAACACCAGCTGTGAATGAAAAGACCATTTGAAAATGCTTTTGAACCTGGCCCATAACATTCAGCAATGAGTGCTATATTTTTAAGTAGATCCTCTCATCTCTTTGTCTATAACTTATTT